ACAATTAAATATATTATATATATATAGCATATATATATATATATATATTTATATATATATATATATATATAATAGCTACATATCTATATCTCAATTGATATACAATAAGGTCCTTGAATAGATTATGTCTATTCATTTGTTATGTTTCAGTTATTTCTAGCAACAAACATTGCAGGCCTGTTCTTATATTCTCATAACAAATATATATCTTATTATCCTTTTCATTCATGTTCTTTTACAGATATTTGTCCTATGACCTACTACTGTCAGTAAGTACAAACAGAAGCCATGCCCATCCATCTTGATATCGGACTGGATTTGTGCAAATTGCATAAAAACAATTATGTGGCAAAGAATTAATGAGCTTAAAATTAAGCAATTTTAAGCAAAAATATTATTTGTCTTTAAAGCTGAAAATCTTACAGTGACAAAATGAAAGATAGAATATTTTTATTTATAATGCAGTATGGAGGACTTTCATGTCATTCAGATTTGCTATTAATTTTATATTGAAAAATATTTTATTAAGAAAATGTGTCACATGTTTTGAAATTGTTGCTTTACCTCTTCTGATTGAAGAGCATTGCTTGTCACAAATACTATATAAGCATTTAGTTATTTTCAATGTATTCTTTGAGACATCTCAACCTAATTATTCATGTAGGGGCACACAATGTCATTATTTCTTGTAGAATGCAAAGTATAAGAAATTGTTATTTCTAGGAAAGGAACAGTTTTGTACAATCACTTCTCTATGCAATTTATCACTATATTTAATTTTGTTTTCATATACTCTAAATGGTGAAATCTTTCCTGTCAGCTCAAAAAGGAAAAGTTTTTGCACAATCACTTCTCTATACAATTTATCACTAGATTTAATTTTGTATTCATATACTCTAAACGGTGAAATCTTTCCTTTCAGCTCAAACATGTGTTAATTTTTCTCTTTCCTGTTTGCACAGTTAACAACAGATTGAGAAATATGTACCATATCCTCTTGACCATGGAATCAGTATTGCCTGTAATCCATCTTTTCTGCATAAATTAATTTTCCCCACTCCTGCGATGTCAAGATACTAGACCTCAATTGTCTGGCTTGCATTTTCTTCCACTTCTTATTATCTATGAGCCACACTTCTCTTTTTAATGATTAAATAAATTGAATCAAGATGCAATAAAGACCTGTTGAAATGGACCTCATTTAAAAGCACACAGATATTCACTAAGATAATTAGAAATATCACTCACTCATGAAACAAATTATTTACCTTTTAACACCAACTTAATGTAATAACTGAAAAAGTTAGGAATAGTGGAGATCCATTGATAAGTACACAACAGAAAAGAATTTTAAGTTGTGCTTCAAATTTACTTTCCTCTTTACATTTTTTGTGGTTAATAGTTCTAACACACTAACAGCTTCTGGATAACCAACTCTTTGATTCTGCCTCCATGATCCATATTATTAGAAGACAGGCAGAAATCTGTTTGCAAATGTTCATCTGAGATTATCAAATGAATCAGGATATTTTTAAATTTTAAACATAAGAGTCATTCATCTTTGAAGAGTAGAATAGAATAAATTCATGGAAATGATATTGTATACCTAAGAAGCCCTGCAAATATGACTTCATAGATTTATTGGAATTTGTAAGTGATTGTGTCTATATGTGTTTCTTTGTGTATTGAGTGAGAGGAGATAGAGAGAGAAATACAAAGCCCAACTGTATTCTTTTAGTGTTTCTAATATGTATTCATGTTTAGTGATGGTTCTCAGTCTTCAATTACTTAGAAATGGTACCATTGTAGAGGCAAAACTTATAGGACTACTTATTTTATTAACAAAATTTGCTGTCTAAGCTGCTAAGTGTTCTGATGCCATGGAAGTTCTAAAGAACGGCATTCACAAAAGGAACATCACAATCTTAGAGGCAACAAATATTTAATAATATAACATAAAAGGAATACATGCCCATTTGAAGATAATCACCATTGAGATCAAGGTAGCTTTAGGTCAGGGGTACAGGAATTGTTCAACAAACCCTATTACATGAATATAAAATTCATAACATGTAATTAAATCCACAAAACAGATGATAAACTCAATAGATCAAGAAAAAGCCTGTGAAAAAATACACCATGTCTTCAAGGTAAAATTCACAAAAAAAGTAGGAATGGAGGAATATTACTTCAAAATACTAAAGTCTATCTCTCACAAAAAAATATGGTAGAAGCAATACTATGTGTAGAAAAACTGCAAGAGAACCTAAGACAATCTTGAGGAAGCCTAGATAGCCACTATTACTACTCATTTACAGTGTTGTAACAGAGGAATGGCACTAATATATGAAGTGAAACAAATTTAAAGCACCCAAATATGAATAGAGAAATTTAATTAATTCCTATTTTCAGATGAAATGGTATTATACATAGGACATCCCCATATTATACCAGGACACATGATGTACAGGCAACAATTTCAGGAAAATGACAAAAGTCACCTTATAATAATCAACATCCTTTTTATATGCAAACAACAAACCAACTGAGAAAGATATAATCAGAATAACATAAAAGAGAAAATGTCTAAGCATAAATATAACCAAGAAGAAAGTAAACTCTAATCTCAGGGGAAATTTTTAAGAAAAATTCCTATAAAGTGGAAAGACATTAAACCTATAATGGTAGAATTCATATTTGGGAAATGAACACCATACAATAAGCAACTTACTGATACTATGCAATCTAGAAAAAATATTATTTATAGAAATAGAAAAAACATCCTTAATTTCATGTGCTACCAGCAATATTTCTGGATACTAGAGCAATTTTGAGCTTAAAGTTAAATGTGGAGCTATTGCCATTTTAGTGTACGCAGAGGACAGGTCGAGAGCGCTTCGGGTCAAGCTAACAGCCTAATGGCGACTCTTGTACACAGTCTTAATGTTTGATTGGGAAGGTACAACCTCTGCCTCTATCCCTCAACATTTGGGTGACCTATTTGCTTGTTAAAATATGAAGCCTTATAATTAATTAAGAAAAAAAGGGGGAGATGTAGGGCGCCGTCCCTGCATTCTCCATTACAAGATGGCGCCTGCATCCGGCAGGCACCGAATGTAAAGTTAATGCGCGCAGGCACTGGGTAACTTTCCATTCCTTGATCTCTGCCTTTTCTGTGGCGTCATATGGTCCGATGAACTGCAGCCAATCATAGGGTGACACGTCCCAGGCGGCGGTTGCCAGCCTTTATTAGGGGACAGGATTCTTGACTCGGGGTCTCCGCTTTTGTAAGCTGATGCTCTTCCTCTCAAGAGGCACTAATGCTTTACTGCAGAAGGATCCGAGTGTCCTGTGTTGT